AAAAAAAAAAAATCTTTACTTAATGATATTTACATTCTAGTTTGAAATTTTCAAAGTGCCTCTGCATACATTAATTATTCAATTCTAATAATTCTTCAATGGAAGTAAGGAACATATTATTATACCCATTTCCCTAATAAGAAGAAAGAACCTTGCTACCTAGTCAAGGTAAAGAGAACCCAGGTTTCTGACTCAACTTCTAGCTGCACACTGTAAGCTCTGTCCTTAATTTCCATCTTTTGGTTTGGTTTTAAGGTTTACTCACCAAACATTTTCTTCAATTTAAGCACTTAAAAAAAAATCTAAAATTGATTTTAAGACAGTATGAGAAAACCTTAAAGTGTAAACTAAATAAACAGTTAAGTTACTGTGCATTATTATAATCTGTAACCTGATATCTACAACCTGTTTACAGATATCCTCATCTGTAAACCTGTTTCTTCTCCTCTTGTTTCTCCTAGTTTCACTACCAGTTGGACCTATGATCCTGGCCAGAAACATTCCATCACTCCTAGACAACGCATGGCTATCTCTTACTTCAGAACTCATTAGCATTAATTCTCTTGACCCTGAGGTCCACTATACTTCTCAGACACAGGTAATGTCACACACCCTATAAAGATACCTAAATCTGGGCTAATCCTAAGTCTAACCTTTTATTTTAGACATAGTCACAGAACTGTGCTAAAACCAGATGTTTTCTTTCCTGGGCAAAAACCCCCTATTCTACCTCCCCAAAACTGTCTCTGCTTTTCTAGCTGACTTCTTCCTGCAGCTCTATGATTCAATCAGGTTCTTACATTAGGTTCTTCACAACAGAGACCAGTAAGTCTAAAACAATTTCTCTCTACTGGTTCCTCTCCTTTCTTGTAATCTCCAATAACCACCCAAGGCTCAGTCTACCATATCTGGACCCCCTTCCCCCACACTACATCTTCTTTCTCTGAAAAGCAAATGACTACTAGGATTTCCTCTACTGAGACCCATAAAGACTTCTACAAAGTGAAGTGCTATTTAAAATTTTTGGTCTTGGCTGGGCATAGTGTATCATGCCTGTAATCCTAACACCCTGGGAGGCCCAGGCAGGAGGATCACTTGAGTATAGGCGTTTAAGATTACAGTGAGTTGTGACTATGTTACTGTACTCCAGCCTGAGTAACAGAGCACGACCTTGTCTCTAAAAATTAAAATTAAAAGTCAAGCAATATAATTCAAAAAGCAGACAATAACAAGTGTTGGTGAGGATGTAGAGAAATTGGAACACATACATTGCCAAGTTTGGCAAGTCTCTCCCCACCAAAAATTAAACACAGAGTTTCCATATGATCCAGCAATTTCACTCCTATCTGGCCAAATGAAAACATACATCCACAAAAAACTTGTCCATGAATATTCATAGCAGCATTGTTCATAATATAATAGACAAACAAAAAGCAGTAAGATACTGACACATGCTACAATATGGATGAACCTTGAAAACATCATGCTAAGTAAAAGAAGCCAGACACAAAAGACAACATATTGTATGATTCCATTTATATGAAATGTACAGAATAGGTAAATCTATAAAGAAAGAAAGTAGATTAGTGGTTGCCCAGGATTGGAGAGGATTTGGAAAGGAATAAAGAGAGATGCTAATAACTATGGGGTTTCTTTTTGGGGTAATGGAAATGTTCTAAACTTAAATCATGTTAACAGCTACACAATTCTGTGAACATACCAAAACAATGAATTGTACATTTTAAAAGAATGAGCTCTATCTCAATAAAGATTTGTTTTAATAAAAAAGTCTAAGTCATTTTGTGGAGTTTATCAAAAAATAACAACAATAGGCTTGGCACCCATAGCTCAGGTGTTAGGGCGCCAGCGACATGCACCATACCTGGTGAGTTCAAACCTGGCCCAAGCCTGCTAAATAAACAAACAAAAAAAGCCAGGCATTGTGGTGAGTGCCTGTAGTCCCAGCTACTAGGGAGGCTGAGGCAAGAGAAGCACTTGAGTCCAAGAGTTTGAGATTGCTGTGAAACCCCCCCCCCCAAAATAAAAACCAATCCTCTAATAGCATGATGGTGGTAAGCATGGATTTTAAGTGAGAAATTGTAAACAAATTAATTGGGAAGAATATCAAACAATCAAAAGTTGATTATCCCTTATTTGAAATTCTTGGAACCAGATGTGTTTCAGATTTTGGCTTTTTCCAGATTTTTAAATAATTGCATTATAATGACTAGATGAGCATCCCTCACCCAAATATCAGAAATCCAAAATGCTCTAATAAGCACTTCCTTTGAGCATCATTCCAGTGCTATAAACGTTTCAGATA